TGTGTGTGTGTGTGTGTGTCTGTATGTATGTATGTCTGTGTGTGTGTGTATGTGTGTGTGTGTGTGTGTGTGTGTGTGTGTGTGTGTGTATACACAGGCTTATCTGCTTGTGTGTGTAGGTTCCTGTATGTACACTCACAGACATATACTACACACATACATAAAATAAATGGTAAAAGATTTTAAGTAGTTTTCAATGATTTAAATGTTTCACATATTTATACAATGAATTTTGACCATATCTACATAAAAATCAAGCAGTGTCTTCAGCAACAGGTTCTTACCATCTAGCTATGGTGGGCATCCAAGAGCAATGACAGTAGTCTATATTGTACAAGGGGTCTCTGGACCTTGCTGACCAATAACCAATAGGGAATCAAGCCATGCCCGGTCCTGAGATTTCCATTCAATAACTCAGGTCTTTAGAGCAGCATTGTCCACACTTGCCGGCTACTTCTGTTCTAACAAGAACTGTTTTTACAAAAATGACTGTTTAGCTGGGCGGTGGTGGTGCACACGAGTTTAATCGCAGCACTCGGGAGGCAAAGCCAGGTGGATCTCTGTGAGTTCCAGGCCAGCCTGGTCTACAGAGTGAGATCCAGGACAGGCTCCAAAGCTATGCAGATAAATCCTGTCTCAAAACAAAACAAAACAAAACAAAACAAACAAAAAAGACAATGACTGCTTTTGACCTGTGTGACTTAGAGATTGTTCTTTGTAAGGGATAACATGAGGGTCTGAGGACATTTCTACCAGAAAATAGAGAGTTGTCCTTGCTCACCCAATTCTCAGCCTCAGCAAATGTTCTCTTCTTCCTGTGTGAGCTTCAAAGAGCTATTCCTCATCCCGCACCCCCAAAGGAGACAAAATGCCCATGTGTGCCCATCCTCCATTCAAAAAGGACCCACTTGTTACTTGAGTGCAGGATCAGAACCTGGGCCCCAGCAGCTCTAACAAACCAGGCTTGGCCATCTTTCCTCAACAGGACAATTAAAGAGACGGTCACAGTGAAAAGCAGAGGAAAAAGGCTTACTCAGCATGGCCAGATTGGGAAAAGGAACAAGGAGATTCAGTGACAACCCCCCAAATCCCTAGTTGGGGCTTTGACAGGTCCTGACATGAGGCTTAGGCTTAAATAGAAGACAAGACATGTGCAGAGCTGAGCAGTCCCAGGTCTGGTGTGGCCCCGCCCCAGTGAGCCATCACTGTCTCTGTCCAGTCTCTGCTGCAGGTTGATCTGAGGAGTTCTCAGGACTGTGTGAACTCTCTTTCTGGGAGACCAGTTCTTCCTCTGGCTGTCTCCAGACTTCAACCTTTTCTTCTCCCAGCATGAGACTCCCTGGGTGACCCCAGTTCCCTGGAGTCCATTGCTTCAGTAGTCTGAGGGGCAAGGAGTGCAGCAGAGGCATCCTCAGAGCATCATTCCTGTCAGGGAAGTTCCATGCTGACCTCCTTTGTCTCCTCCCAGCCCCCAGGACCACCTCTTCAAGCCTCACCACAGGAACTTCTGAAGGCAAGATGGGCAGAAATAATCAGAGCCTGGGACTGGGAACCACAGTTGGGTTGGCAGTGGCTGCTGCTGTACTCCTGGCTGGGGTTGTGGGGTTGACAGTGTTCCTCGGGTGGAGGAGAAGGAAAGGTAAGTAGTCCAAGACAGCATCTCCATCACACTTCCTGAGTGTTTACACAGAGCAGTCCACACCAGAGTCCTGGAAAGGGATTGATGACAGCGCAGTTGTGAATCCTCAGGGGATGGCTGAGTCAGGAAAGTGCTGCCATGCAAGCTGGAGGTTCCATGACCACAATCCATGTGATCCCAGTGCTGAGGAGGTGGAGACAGATGATCCCTGAGGCTGGATGGCTGTTATACTGGCCTAACTGGTGAGACTAGTGTCCCAGTGAGAGAACTTATCTTTAAAAAGAAGTAAGGTGGACAGCGTTAGAGGAGCAATACCTAAGGGTGACTTTTTGCCTCTCGAGGGCAGATCCCTGACGGCCTCATCCTGTTTCCCCAGTCAGGCTCTGGGCTTGAGCTTAGAGTACCTGGGGTCTGTTTGCTGCTGTGGTTGGTTCAGTGACTGCAGCCCTGCACTGCTAACCTCACTGGGATTCTACCTGAAGCCGCTTCCTCAAGTGAGGTTCTGCAGGGTTAAGTCTGTGAACCGCACAGTCCAGTCATGGCTCAGTTCATCTCTGTTGACTTAGACACAGGTCATCAGTCCTCCCCTGTGGTTACAGAGGAGAAAGGGGCTGCCTAGGAGAAACCTGGGGAGGGGAAAGCACCAGGGACCAGAAGTTGCCTCAGCAAAGCTGTATTGCTCCACTTTCCAAAGTCTGGCTTGAAACTGGAGGATCACATGTGGATGAACATCGGTTCCTCCAGTAACGGCAAGGTGATAGGGGAGCCACCCAAGGGCTGAGTGTTCATTTCTGAAAGAGCTGTGGTGTTGACAGACAGGCCAGAGGAGAGACAGGTGGTTAGAGGAACTCAGAGGAAGAAAATAACATAGGATGTCAAAGAATAAATAGTGACAGCCAGAGGCGGTGAGATGGCTCAGGAGGTCAGGGCACTGGAAATGCTCAGAGCCCACATGCCCAAGGAAAGAGCTGAGTCCTGGACATTGTCCTCCAAAACATGCATACCATAGCATGTGCATGCACACACACAATAAGTAAATAAATATACTACGATTAAAAAATGAAAACAATGACAGCCAACGGTGATGCACACCTCAGTCAGTGCACCTGGGAAGTGGAGGCAGGAGGATCTTGAGTTCAAGGCTAGCCTGGACTATATGAGAATTTATCTCATTCCCCTCTCTTCAATACATTAGCCAGGAAAGTGCTAGGAGTCGTGTAGAGGACACTCTCTGTGCTTCCAGGAAAGGGAAACCACCTCAGGAACTCTTGAGCAGTGTGGTGCATGTGGAGGAGGCAGGAGATGACCAGAGGGAACCTGGTAAATCAGGTCCCCAAGCTCTGATAACAGAGGACAAATGAAGTGGCCACCTCAGCGCCCTGCTATGGTGACATCAGTGTGTGTAAAGGTCTTCAAGAGGGTCACTGAGACAGATTACCGGGGAGGAAGGAGCTTGATAAGAGTTACCAATGCCATGGACAGACAGAACGGTAAATAGCAGCATGACAGGGCATGCTAAGGAGATTTCAGGCTCCACCAACATGGCAGAGATTCCAAAGAGGGGAGGGGGATTCTTTTTATATCCTTCTGAGGAGGATAGGGGTGGTTTCACTGCACAAGCTGAACCAGGAAGGAGGCAGGAGAGGGAACAGGATGTGTGGTCACTAATACCGTCATTGACTAAAATCACTGCCCAGGTGAGAACCCCTGGACCTGGATGGAAGCAGGTCAGCTGGAGAGAACAGTGTCTGAAAAGCAGTGTCTCTATGAGAGGTGAAGGGCGGTGCTGTGGCCTGAGCAGCAGCTGGATTCTGACATCACAGTCTTAGGGTGCAGAGCACAGACTGGAGGGGACCAGGCTGTGTCACTTTGCCACAGTGGAGCTGCACATGGGGATGAATGGCCAGAACCAGGAAAATGTCCAGGCAAAAGCTTTCAGACTTTGTGATTAGCCTGGTATGATAGTGTGTATCTGTAACATCAGTGTGTGGAAGGGGCAGGCAGGAGGATCAGTAGTTCAAAGTCATCCTTGGGTATGGAAGACCTCAAACAAACACTCACTGATTAGATGGATGACATGGGGACCAGGGAACAGGAACAAGTCTAAGTGTGTTGAAGAATACTTTGATGAAACCAACAAGCCCATTTAGGGGCTGAATAAGGAAGTCTGTTCAAACTGTGTAATGGTGGGTATTTTCCACTGCAATGATAATACATCATCATCAAAAGTAACTTGAGGAAGGAAGAATTGGATTTGGCTTGTGATCCAGAAGGAAGTGTAATCGTGGAGGGGCAGCTGAAGCAGGACACTGAGAAGTCACATCTGCAACAATGCAGAGAACCAGGGAGAAAGCTGGAAGTGAGGTGGGGCATTATGTTCTCAAAACGCACCCCACGTGACACACACCTCTTCTAGGAGGCTGCACCTCCTAAATAGTCCATAACCTCCACAATGTGACCAAGGGTTCAAATAGGTGAGCCTGTGGTGAAGATTTTTCATTCAAACCTGCACAGGGGTGGGCTGACCAGGTGATTTGTGGTTACAGTTGAAGTGCCTGTGTGGATCTGACAGAGCTGTCCAAAAAACAAAGAACAACCAAGAAAAGTGTGCTTAAAAGTCAAAAGAGAAAACACAGAGAGATGGGTCAGAAGTTAGAACACTTGCTGCTCTGTCAGAGAACCTGAGTTCTGCTCCAGCACCCACATCAACTCTGGCTCCAGGCCTGTCTGAAGGCGTCTCCTGAATCCCACAGGCATCTACTCTCATGTGCACATAAATTTAAAATTCAAAAAACAAAACAATAACAAAAAACTTTAAAAGCTATAGTAGCTAAATAAATAAATGAATAATAGACTTTTTCTAAAGAAATACGGTAGCCCTCAGAGGGTAAAAGGTGTCAGTGTAGAAGCCTGGGAGCCACATGGTGGAGGAAATCGACTCCTGCAAGTTACCCTATGACCGCCATACAAACTGCGGCACCCCCTACCACATAATAAATAAGTGGCAAAAAAATGTGGTCATGAAAACAGCATAGTACGGACCAAGACAAATAGACCAGTAGAGTGAAATATATTCCAGAAAGAGGTGGTCTCTAAAGGCACAAAAAGGAAGGCTGGTGAATGCAGAGTAGATGAGGTAGGTGTGGAGTGAGGGAACTCAAGGTTGGTGAAGGAAGCAGAGGAGACAGAGGTGGACATGGACCTAGCAGAGATCTGGGGAGGTTGCTGTGTAGGACACAGCCCAGCAGAGGGAGCTCAGGCTCCTCTCTGACTGCCTGGGGCGGGTTCTCTGCTCCTCTGTCCTCTGAAGGTGGTCTGCACACAGAGGACAGCTGAGAGGGATGATGGAGGATCAGCACTGATGTCACACTGACACTGTTTCTTCCCCACAGGACAGACGACTAAAGCCGAAACCCCAGCCAGGTGAGCGCCATCAGGGTCCTCTGCAAGAGCAGCCAGCGCTCTTAACCACTGAGCCATCCCTCCAGTCTCCTTCAAATAGCATTAAAAAAAGAGAACCACACCCAGGACCCTTCGCATCTCCCTAACCACTGACTCATCCTGTCTGCTCCCTCCTTGTCCTCTATGACCTCAGGATCCTCAGGACACCAGATTCACACACTGACAAGGAGTGCAGGGTCTCAGGAGTCTCCTTCCCAGAACAACACCCACTTTAGGCCTCAGTCTTCCTCCCTCTCTCCTTCCATTTCCTGGGCTGCCCTCTCTGTCTCTGTTCCCTCTCAACCTTGAACATCCGCCTGGATTCAACAGCTCTCCCATCCTTCCCTTTCTTCTCTCTGTCTTTCTCTATGGTCAGTGAGCCCCGCTGCCCCAGAATCCTTTGTTCCAGATCTTCCACATCTCTTACCCTTTTCTCTTCACCTCCCAACATCTCCACCCTTCTCTCCTGCCTCTTCTTTCCCTACTGTACATGGCCTGCTCTGATCCTTCTTTCTCAAACCTCTTTTTTTCTGAAAAAGGGTCTTATTTAGTCCAGGCTGGCCTCCAACTTGAATTTCTGATCTTTTGCCTCCACCTCCCAACTGTTGGAAGGACAGGCATCGAACCACACCCGGTTTATGAGGTGCTGGGATGGAACCCAGGGCCTTGTGCAGATAACTCAAGCATCCACTAGCAACACTGCATCCCAGCTTCCTCCCTCTCTCCTCTCCCTGTGGCTTCTTTGGCCAGATGCCCTTCCTCCAGTCCCATCTCAGGTCCTTTCTTACCGAACCCAGCCTGAGCACCTACCAGGAGATCTGAAACTTTCTTGCCTTCTAGTTTTCAGGGTAGTGAGAGAGAATAGACTTGGTTCTTCCTATTTCTAGTCTCTGTTCCTGCCCAGGGCAAGCCGATTTCCTAGAATGACTCCCCTTCTGCTAGTGCTGAGAGACCTCGGCCAGGCCACCTTCCCAATGGCCTCTCATTCTCTTCCAGAGAAGATCTATTCTGAGAATGAACTCAGTCATGCTCATCTAGAGTCACTGAGGATTGCAGAGACCATTCAGAGGGGACCAGCTCCTGGTGTGTGTGTGTGTGTGTGTGTGTGTGTGTGTGTGTGTGTGTGTCTGTGTCTGTGTCTGTGTCTGTGTTTTGTGTGTTCTCCAGTGTCATGCACTCTTTTAAATAATTATTTTATTACATTTTATTTGTTTGTGTACATGTGTGTGGGTATGACTTGACATGGCCCACATGTGGCGATCACAGGACAACTTCTGAGAGCTTTCTCTTTCCTTCCACCTTGTGGATCCTTGGGATGAAACTCAGGTTGTCTGTTTTGATGGCCTGGCCTTATGCACTATGTCATTTCACCTTGGATTTTGGGTTTTCGTGATTGTTGTTGTTGTTATTGTTTGGTGTCTTTTGTTTGGTTTAGTAGAGACAGGGTCTCCCACTGGTCTGGAACTCACCAGTTGGACCAGGTTGGTTGGCCAGTGAACATCAGGAGTCCCCTGTCTCCACCTCCTGAGCACTGAGATTACAAGCATGCACCACCATGCCCAGTTCTGTGTGTTGTTACTGTTCCTGTATGTGTGCATGTGCAGGTGCACATCCACATGTGTGTGTGTGTGTGTGTGCACTTGTACATGTTTGTGGAAGCCAGAGGTCTATGTTGTAACTCCCCTCAGTTTCTCCAACCTTTATTCAATATTTATTTTGAGTCAGGATCTCTCACTAACCTGAAGCTCATCACTTTGGCTAGGCTGCCCAGACAATGAGCTTCAATGAGATCCTCCTCTCTCCATCACCACCCTCCAGGTACATCGTGTCCAGCTTTTTTCACATGGGTCCTTGGGGACCTAAATTTGGGTCTTTATGTTTGTGAAGTGGGCACTTTGCCAGCTGAACCGTCTCTCCAGCCCTCCACTCTATCTTTTGAGACAGGGTCTTTCACCAAATCTTGAGCTCCTCTGTTAGTCCGGGCCAGTGAACTCCAGGGATATATCTGCCTGTCTCTGCTTCTCCAGCATCCAGCTTTCTGTGGGTCCTGGGTCTGCAATCAGGACTTCCTGTTTATGTGACACTTACTTTCCTAACTGAGCCATCTCTGCAGCCCAGAACCTGATGTCTTAACCCTTTCCTGTCCAGATTCTGATATGTTGTCCATTTGTTCCTGTGCAGGGACCTCATTGAAAACACTGACAATGTTGAACCTGAAGGTAAATTCTGCCAGCTTCCTGTTTCCCAACCTTGCTGCTGTCTTCTCCCAAGACCCCACACTTACATGAGCACCCCTCTATATTTTCTCCCTTCCCTCCTTCACCCTGTCCCTCCCATGTAACCAAGGTCCTCACCTCACAGTTGGAACTCCCAGCCATCTGTCTCCCTTCCTGTCACAGTTTGACCTCAGCACTCTGTGTTCCTTTTTCTCTAGGACAATATATGGACCCCAAAGTGAACCCCAAGGTAAGCCACTCAGACTCAGGCCTGAGGGAAGTTAAAGGGATGTTGAAGAAGGAGGCAGAAGGGTGGAGGCTGCAGGAAGTGCAGGATACTCAGGCTGCATTGCTGCAGGTGTGGGCAGGACACTCAGGCTGCAGCAGCTGCAGGTGTGACAGGGCACTCAGTCTGCAGCTGCTGCAGGTGTGGCAGGACATTCAGGCTGCAGCTGCTGCAGGTGTGGGCAGGACACTCAGGCTGCAGCTGCT